GGGAATGCTCTCGCCCCCAACTCACTTAACTTCGGAGTTCTGATGGAACCCGAAGCCAGTGAATTCACAAAAAGCCTCGTGCTAGGTAGAGATGAAAATATACATATAAGGCTTATAGGATCCACTCTCCTGGGCGATGTGGGATGTTACAAGAATGGTTGGAGCATAAAACCTGTTTCTGGGTTAAAACCTAAATTTTCTTGGCTAAAAATTTTAGGTTTTAGACTAAGGGTTGGAGATGGTCTTAGTTTAGATAATATTGTTTGTTCAGAAAATAATGCATATGTTTAAATATTCTAGTAGATAGAGTATTAGGTTTCCGTCCATGTGTCCTGAATTTGAAATTCTCCTGTCCTTATGTAATTGTCATAGTTTCGAACCGTACTCCTCTCCTTAATAATAATGATATTTTGAGAAAAAAATGCTACTAATGGTGTTACTGAAAAACTCTAACACATCCTCACTACCAAAATTTTTAATTTTCTCATTTTATTTACTCATCCGTATTTGTCTAAAATTATATTTAGAAAGTAAGTCTATCCCTTTTCCAACAATGAATAATGCATGATTTATTGATATCTATAGGTTATTCTTGATTGAACCAATCGAACTTTTAATTAAACGTCCCAAATTGTAATATCATTTTTCTCAACCAAGAAATCAAAGAAACACCAAAATTTGATTTTCTAATTCTCCATGATAAAGTGAAAGAATGTGAGTGCAATTATTGGTGTTGGTGGGACTAGTTTAGTCCCTAGTGGAATGTATATAAGGCCATAACTTTCCATGATATACGACTTGTTGAGTCCGAAGATCCTTTTACACCAAAGATAAAGGACCGAGCTTTTGCTCAACCACTACTACCGTTGATTAGGACTCGCGCATAGACCTTATTTTCTTTTCTATCCAAATATGCATGTATGTGTGTGTATACATAGAAAGTCTTTAAGGGAAGAAATTCTTATTATTATTATTTATAAAAATAAAGATTAGTTATGGGGTCTATACAACATTAAACTTTAATGATCCGAACAATCTATTTTTCAAGTTACACCTCATAGATCATTCTTGCAAAATATTAGCAAAATCGGAAATATTTAAGACATCTAATTGAGTTAAAAAAAAATTAACGAATACTTTGTTATATAATAAACAATGAAATTTTATCTTAATAATTAAATAGGCAAATGATTTCGAATTGAATTAAATTTTTGCAAAGATGATCCATGAATTGAGACTTACAAAATAGATGGTTCAGATCGTTGAAGTTCGACGTAGAGTAAACTCTACATGTAATCCCCATTTTTTGAAAAAAAATGAGAATCTCTTTTCATAAAGGGCGTGTGTGTGTGTGTATTTTTTTCTTCATAATATCATAAACGTTATTTTCCTCCTCCATTGACCTTGTGGTACCTTCCAAATTCCTAACAGACTTTGGTTGTGTGCAAGATACCTCCAGCCTTGTTGGCCTGTCGGTTTTGGATATGTGACCCATAGTATGAACTAGTGCTTGGGGGACCAACTTGAAGCGTCAATGTACCACATATTCATATGGAGTATTTGATCAAATTGTTTGAGAGAGTACCAAAGAGGATTGGTTGAGTTGATAAAGATCGTTTGCTTCGTAAGATCAAGGTCTAGGTTCGAGTCTCGCTGCTGACAATTCCTTTTGATGGGCTATTTGTAAAAACAAAAAAAGGGCTAAAACTCCCTCTATAAATCCTTAAAGAGACTTGTGGTATGTCCTAACCCTGAAAGAAGTAGCTTCCTCTCCCTCTAAAATTTTAATCACCAAAAAATTATTTTGAGACAACGAAAGTTATGGCAACATCTAATTTTATCCATTCTCATATATAATGCATCTATTTGAATGATGCTAATATCACATTGGGAAATTAAAACATGAGCTCTTTATTTCCTTACACTATGTTTGGATGAGAGAAATAAATTTGGAATTTTGATAAGAGACATAATTTATAAATTGACATGCACCAATTCCCTTATTTGGATTCATAAACATGAAAATTAGAATTTCAACGAGGAAAGAAAACTTGAAATTTGGAATCTCCAAGTCTCAAGTTAAAATTCTATGTAAATATGTGCCATTTCCAAATTTCTATGTTACACCACGTTTAGATGACGAAATTTAAGATTACGATGAAATTATAAAATGATGGAAATTGAATTGATGAGATTTTATTTTCTAGAATTTGTGAATTTTCTTGTTTGGTTAACCTAAAAGAACAATGAAATTGAATACGAAATTTGTTATTTTTAAGCTCTAAATCATAGAAATTGAGAAATGACACCTACTTACATGGAATTTAAACTTTGGAATTGGAGGTCCCAAATTCCAAGGTTTTTTTTCTATGCAGAAATTCTAAATTCCTATGTTTATGAATCCAAACAAGGAAATTGATGCATGTCAATTTACAAATTCTAACTTTTATTCAAATTTCAAGTTTATTTCTCTCATCCAAACATAATGTAAGTGAGAGTTTAAAACTAAAAAAATTCTGTATTCAAATTCCATTGTTTTTTTTTTTTGTTAATCAAACTAAAAAATTTACAAATTCAAGAAATATTCCGTCATTTCTATTTCCATCTTTTAAATTTCTTAATAATTTGAAATTTCCTCCTTACAGTTCAAGAGTCCTAGGGAAAAAATTCTATGGGCTCCTTCCTATCAATTATTAAACATAATATAAAGTTAATGAATACAATTAGGTGAATTAAGGCCGGTTTTATTGAAGAAAACTTTGGGTAAGCTACGGTGTGTCCCATGCGGCAACTCACTCAACTTTATTTGTGAGTGTGGTGTCGCATGAAAATTTTCTTTACAAGGCAACTTCTACCTACAAGTTCTTATGATATTTTGTCCATTCGCATGGATAATTAGCATGACAATTGAACTCTACCATAAAGATGAAAAGAAGCTGCTTTAAACAGTAAACCACCCCATTTCTCCATAAAAAATAAAAGAACAAGACAGGATACAGACATCGACGGAAAACCGTTCTTAATCAAACGAATAATCACAGTAATAATTAATTAACAATTAATGGCAGTAGCATCACGACTTCGGTTGTTTTATTCGTATTGGTAGCAAAAGGCAATAAAAACAAGCGATAAAAGGTTAAATATCTGACTAGGACAGAGGAAACAAGGGTTTAAATATTCATTCCAAGGTGTAAGGAACATGAAAGTGTTTATCTTTGGCAATTGGAGCTTAATGGCCGTCTGGATGTTATGCCGTTTGTTTGATGAGGAATTCTATGAACTCAAGTTTAAACTACATAGGTGGAAGATCAGTTTTATTAATTACGATTAATAAAGTATGAGGAAGTGTGGTTGAGAGAGATTTTGACTGATGCGAAGTTTATGGTTTTCTCCACGTCAAGCTTTGCATTATTTAAAGTTTGGCAGAAAGGTGACCGAACCGAAGTGTTTAAGAATCAAGCTCGGCTCTAGCTAGATCAAGCTGAGCTCAAAGCAACCCGATTATATATGTATTGAGAGTTCAATTATTAAATTTTGGAGGTTTAGAAAAGAGAAAAACATACGTGCATGATGTGACTTACATGCGTTGATATAGAAATGTGTTGATAATACGTTCGGCTTATTTTATTAAGATAATGTTATGTCAATATTTCCATAACATTAATAATATATATACTAATAAAATAATAGAAATAAGAGTCATTGACCAAAATATATAATTTCTAGAAGAGAATGGTAGGAATTCCACTAACACGGCAACTCAAATAATTGTATGCAAGATTAAGGGTCTATATTATTTCCTTAATCTTCTCAATTAAGAATCAGATAGAACCCATCATAAGAATATTGAATTTGTAAGAATATTCATGTAGATGTTGTTCTTCAGAGAGGTGGTGATCAAGTGAGAATTGTGATGTATAAAAATGAGTTGTCAATAATTTGGGAATCAAGGCACTTTGTGAGCATATAATACAATTGAAAGCTAAGGTGTTAGGATAAATTTCTTAACAAGCTTAGGCTTTTACCTTAAAAATGGATGTGTTACAAAGAAATGAGTATAAGTGACTAGTTTTGGTAGATTCGGATAAATTTAAGGAGATAAAAAATTTTAGGAGCCAGATGGTTGGCGAAAGGTGGATTCTTTTGCAGAAGTTGTGGGAGAGAAATGGTGGTGAAGTTGCTTTGTTTGAAGATGCTTTGTTCATGGGTTAGATTTAGAATGTCACCCGGTGAGTTGGGCATTTTTACTGGCCCAAAGATAGTTTAGCCCAAATGATCATCTCTGGAGCGGAGTTTGGTTGCTTCCGGTAGTATCCCTTACTCATCACAAAAAATGTTCGTATTATTTGTAGTAACATCTTTTTTAAGTATTGGTTTTATAAAAAAAACGTTCTCTTGCTTTTGTTTTGTTAATTTTTCATACGAGACTTTTTACATTTTTCAACAACTGTAGCTCTTTCATGTTAAACATATGAGTAAACCACTTGAAGTTCAAAGCCAAGAAACTCCAAGAGTTTTAAAACTTTGACAAATTGCTTGTTATGCTTTAAAATTTAATGAGATTTTGACCATCTTAAGAAGGCAGCCTCTGTGTGTTCACAATTTACCTAATCTAACTCCTTTCCATTCTTGAATGAAAAACTTGTCGATTGATTTGTTTTAATCTTGGTTCACTTCACATGTTACAAATTTCCTTTTCAATTGGACCACTGCATCAATGAAATACCAATAGTTTATAAGTAAACTGGAGTTGGTTCAAGCTCAGTGCCCACAAAAAAAACATGTAGGGAGCTCAAAAACTGGTTACATTGATACCAAATTTCAGTTTTATTGCTGGACCAGCAAGTGACACCTGCTCCTTTTACCAATTCAAAGAAAGTCGGTAAGAAATTGGCACCAATTATTCTAGCATAAGATGAGTTTTTTATTTTATTTTTCTCGTATTACTAGTGCTTCTGTAATGCGGTTACAGCTGATGTGTTATCTGGAATAATGTCACATAACTACATGATCAGCTTCATATAATTTGATTATTGTTGCAACTGAGTTAACAATTTTTCCCATTCAATATCATTTGTGCACTATTTAGGTTGCTCCATAGGCCAAGGGTTGCCCGAGCAGATGTATATTTGGAGAGGAAGTGTTGCTGGGACTGCAGGGTGGCGGGCATCGAAGATGAAGAATTTGATATAGGAGAGCACCTGAAACAGCTCCAACAGTTGGTCCACAAATATATATCCATATGTCTTTGAAATTCCATGAAATAATTGCAGGTCCCAGTGACCTTGCTGGGTTCATTGACCCTCCTGAAATAGGCCTGCAATGCATACATACCACAACAAGATTTATTTGAGATTAAATCAAAAAATTAAATGACTTTATGCAATTGCAGCATTTATAGCTTTTGTAATTGTATAGACCTACCCTGTGATTAGTACAGCTAATCCGATGGCAATGCCAACCACAAATCCAGACAAATGGCCAACCTGAAGAAAAGTTTCGAGTAGTGAACGCAAGAACCACTTGTTAAAGATTCTTGTAAGTAGGCACAACATTATAAATATGAAAATAATTTGAGAATGAGGATTGAATGTTTCGAACTCAGGACTCTAACATGGTATCATAGTCCTGAGTTCGAAACCCTACCTTAAGCTTCCAATCCTCATACCTTCGGTACCATGTTAATTAGATAAAGATTTAAACCTCCGCAACTTCTTCTTGTTTCTCTCTTTTGTCAATTATCCCAAAAATTTAATCTATTAGAGAATGAGGGAAACAATGTATACCAAGCTAACAATTCCGGCTATAAGCTATGGAAGAAAAAGGACGGAATTTTTTTTCCTTACAGCTTGAGCTTGATGTGTCAATGAGGCAGCTAGGAACATAATCATGAAAGTTGCAATGAGCTCAACCCAGAAGGCAGAAGCACAGCTTTGCAGTGGTCTGGTGGTCATGAGATCTGGTTTTATGCCATAGATATGCCTTCCAATATATGTTGCCAGAACAGAACCCAGTGTTTGTGCCAATGTGTAAAGAGGAACCTTGAAATTACATGAAAACAACATTAATTTAGTGCTTAAAAACCCTAAAAAATGATTGAGTTAAGGGTTGATTAGGTTTGGAATGGTTAAGTACGTACCCTGGACCATGGAAAATGACCAAAGGTGGCAAAGGCCAATGTGACAGCAGGGTTGACATGAGCACCGGAGATAGACCCTATGGAGAAAATAACAACTACTACTGTTAAACCTGCTGTGGCTGCGTACTCCAAAAGACCTACTTCACCTTTCATCAGCTGTGTGCTTGCTATGATCCCACATACACAGAACATCAAGATAAAAGTCCCCACCATCTCAGCCAAAACCTGCTTGCTTTAACATATTGTAGACCAATGAAATTACACTCAATAGTAAGGGGTCTAAAAATAAGCATGCAACCATTGTCCTGAAATTACATCACAAAGTTCATGTTTAACTCTTTAGAGAATTTCAAAAGGCTCGACCTTTTCTTACCGCGCGTACAAGATTTGGATTCATCTGGAGTGGAAAACACAAGAACGTTGAATTTCTCAAGACATTTCCCCCATTTGACATTGCATTAGACCCCATTTCTTGGTCATCTTTGGAATGGCCACTGGTTGATGTGCAGTTTGAAGTTTGAGAAGAGGAAACACAAATTTCATTTGTAGAAGAGCCATTCATGATCAAGTTTTCATGCACAAAGTTATTTGCAGATGAAAATGTTTCAGACTGAGTCCTTATCAGCCTTGTAAAGCTGGAGGTGCAAAGAACATGTACTATAGAAAGCTGTATTTCTTGCATGCGACTTGGAGTCAATTGGCCAAACAAGTCGAGTTAGGTTGGTTTGTTGCTCACACAGTTTTGGCTCTTCAATAAAAGGATAATGCTAGGAAACTAAATTTGTAGACAAAATTTTCAAAACTAAAGGACATAGAAGTTGTTGATTGGCTTATTACTTAAATATTGATAAACGTTCTTATTCCTATTGATGACGCATTAGTTTGTAAATTGAGTAATGCTAGGGAAACTAAATTTATAGACAAAATTTGCAAACTGAATGAGGTATCACCAATAGAAAATTAGCACGTTTATTAACACTTAAGTAATAATCTAATCACTAACTTCCATGTCATTTAGTTTACAAAATTTTGTCTACAAATTTAGTCTCTCTAGCATTACTCTTGTAAATTTTGTTTGCAAATTTAGTCACCTTAATATTACCCAAAATAAAAAAAAATAAAAAAAAAAAGGAAAACTAATAAAAATGGCTTGAAAACTTTAAGTTTTAATGATAAGGACAAAATAAATGGTAAAATGAATAGTATTATGATTGACTTTTTAGTGTAAAAATGTGGTTTTTCGTTAAAATAAACAGTACCGAGAGCTTTTCGTTAAAGTCCCAAAAAATAAAAAGGGCTTTGAATGATGGTTTGGTTAGAGAAATTTGGGTCTCCCACGCAAGTCTTGTGTTGCTCTTAAAAGGAGGATAGTTTGTGCTTCTTACCAATCTCACCTCTAGAAGGTGAACCATTTTGTACTCAGAATCTACAACTTTGGTTGCTCTCTCTACTATTTTTTCCATTATAACTATGAAAATTTTCCCAAAAGAAAATCTTAAAATCCACCTTTCCACAATCCACATTTTGTTGAATAGGAAACACCTTGGTGCTTGGTCACTCTTAAAGTAGACAAGAAGTTTGTTGAGACGTAACCGTAAAATGGTAATTCTTGGGCTTGGCCTTATTCGGTTTATTCCTTTAGCTAAGAAATACTTTCGGGTCATAAAAATGCTCTTGAAAAGCAACTAAAACATTTTCTGAAGAAGTACATAAAAGGCTTATTTTTTTAAGTAAAAGATCAAATGCGTTTCTAACTTTCTAGTAAAAGCGCTTTGGAAAGATAAAATTCTCTTGTTAATCTCTCAGTCTCTCTTCTCCAATATATTTTCTTCTTTTTCTTGAAATTGAATTTGAAGATCAAAAGAGGTGTCCACTTGTATATGTGGTCCAACTATCGGCTCCAAAAAGATTTAGTTGGTTCTGGTCCCAATATTCTCTAGGAAAATTTTGATAAAAATCTAATTTGAAACTCACCATGCAGATTCTCTCAGCTTCTAGGATTGAGGTAGCTGAAGCATTAGCAGTAATGGAAGGATGTTGCCTTGCATCACAGATTGGTCTTGAGAGGATTGTAGTAGAGTCTGATTCAATGGAAACAATCATATGTCTCAACAACTCTCTTATCTCTGGCAGATGGGAAGCATACCCTATCCGTCAAAAAGTTCTTCAACCAGGGCAAGCTTTCCAGTTCTGTTGCTGGTCATGGATCCCCAGATCAACAAATAGGGCTGCTGATTGCATCCTTCAAAAATACGAGGATGTGCGTTTCTACAAGGGTTGATTGACTCCCATCTTCGTTGGTCCATATTTTGAACAGGGATGGTCTCCCTTGTCCACCTTGAATGTATTGTAGTGGGGTGCTCGAAGGAGACATTACTTTTTGCTTAGTAGTGCCATGGCCTTCCTATCTTTCCAGCACTCTTTTTCTTTTTTGAAGTTTGAGTTTTCTCTGTTAGTCCCTTATTTGGGCTTTCCTTGTACTTTGATGGCTTTTGCCATGAATATGTAATGTCCAGTTTACCAAAAAAAAAGAATATATATAATAATAATAATAATAATAATTTATAGTAGATTAGTAGGGCATCGAGGCTCTTATAAATCAAAGTGCCAGATCTTGATCTTGCAAAGTGCAGTTGGAAAAGATGAATTATAATAACATTTGCAATCACTATTTTGTCGGGCAATTAATTTAGAGAAAAAAAATAAAAACACAAAGAAAAAGGAAAATAAAAAGTATCCCATCAAGTTAATTAATTAGGAATAAGAGGGAAAAGCAAGACAATTCCAAAGGAGAAACTTAATAAAATGGTAATGCTAGAGAAATTAATTTATAGATAAAATTTTGGAAACTAAAAGACATGAAAGTTGATGATTGATTTTATTACTTAAACGTTGATAAACGTTCTCATGGTTTATTACTTAAGCGTTGATAAACATTCTCATTCTTATTAGTAACACATCATTTAATTTGTAAATTTTGCTTCCAAATTTACTAGGAGGATCCTTACTGGATTCTCTTTGTGAGAATTCTAGAAATCCTCCAATCACATCTGTTCATCGTACATCATGCAGTAAAAAATCATTGTAAATTTTTTTATTTAAAATTGAAATCAGGCAGAGAGTAAAAAAAAAAAAAGTAGACAAGAGAAAGTGAAGAACTCAAAGAAGTAAAACTTAAGATAAGAGTTATACCTCTAGTGCTTCCAGGGTGGAATCTTGCAGATTTTTGGCTTGTTGATACATCTCAGCCCGCAGTGGCTCCTCCCTTGAAGTCGTAGTAGGCTTTTTGGTCGCTTGGGGCCCTAAGAGTCAAAGAAAATAGAGTTGTCAACTCTCATTACCAAGTTGCGAATAAGAATGAAGGAATGAAGCAAGGTTTACTTACTGGAGGCTTTCTGTTTCTTCATGCCTATGTCCCACCTCAGCTATTGAAGTAGAAGACTTAAAGGTTTTGGATGTCTGTGCCCTTGTCCTTTTCTTTGTTGGAACTGACCACTCTTCAGGCTCAGACTCTGAAGTTTCCACTACAGTTACCCAAGGCTCCATTACAATCCCTATCTCGCCCTTTGAGTCTCCAAGCAACTCGAAGACATCTCTGCCCTCTCCAGCACCTTGCCTTTTTGCTTCAGCTGTGGCTTCTTGGAGGATGAAGGTGTCTGCGGCATCTTCATCTTGCCCGAGGACCATCTTTGTAGGGTTGCCTTGAGCTGCAAGTACAAAGAAATCAGGAAAATGATTAGAATGGGCAGATTCATAAGAATTTCAAGTTAAAAAGTAAGGAATACCTATCAAAAGAAATTGGTTTTTCTGATGAACCATTTCCTTCCATTTCTCAAGCTTATTTGAACTAGGATAAGACTTGATAGAAAGATGCTTGAAGAGGCGATCATGGGCTTCGTGCAGATCTCCTCCATACTTTTTGGTCCACTTTGTCTCCCACCAAGACGCAAGTGCTTGAAGTACATTTGAAATTAAGAGTCATAGGCTTTCAGGCGACCTTGCTCATGACCTCAAGACTGCGTTGGGCAGCTTGAAAAGTAACTTTGGGGGAGAGTGGAGACTGTAGGAGGTGTCACAATGAACGGAGTCAAAGAAGGGCACCGGGTTAGCTTGTCTAAAGCCTAACTACATGCTACGGAAGTTTGGTGATAGACTTCTAGCCCGCGCTCACAATGGTCACTCTTCACACCCCAAGCTAGATCCCTTGACTAGATGCAACTGATAAATCTCTTTCTACAAAGGGGACTAGCATCTTCTCCAAAAGCGTTTTGGAAGGCTTGGTCACTGAACCATGGGTATCTCCTAATAACTGAAGCACCCCATTCTAGATCTGGCTGAGTCCTGCAGACTTTGAAGAAATAAAGACAAGCGAAGGTAGAGTGATTGGTTGGAGAAGCTTCAGCTAAAATTCAGGCAGAGGTTACTTTTTCTGGGAATTTTAGGTTGGGAGCCCGAAGCTCAAGAAAATGCCATTGAAGCCAAAGCTGGATCATCCAAGTTGGACCATGAAGGTTGGTTTCGAATGGTTCACCCTTTGTAATTTCGTACAAGAGATGATATAGATGAGCAAGAAGAAAGAGGCTTGTGGCTACGTCGTCAAATTTGTGAAGAGCTTCTACTAGGGGAATCCATTCCACCTTCACTCCCTTGGACTTATTGGGGAATACATTATTGAGCCAGTAAAGAATGAAATACATATGCTTCTGATCTTTGTTGGCTTTAGAGGAAGAAGGGCCAAATTCTTTCTTGGAAAACAGGATAAAACCCGTGAAAGAAGTCCCATAACTCTTAAAAGTCATAGAGTTATGCTCCAAATGAAGAAATGAGGGAGGACAGCTTGAACTCTTAACAGCCGGACGAAAAGGAGAAGCCCAGTCGTGGATAACGTGCACAATTCTGCCTAAAGGGCTTAACCCGAAGACCTATGCCATATCCAGGGTAGTCAGGGATATTGGACCCATCCTGAAGTCAAAGGTATTGATTCCCCGAGTTCCAAAAGAGAATAGTTGTTGTGAGAAGCTCGGGCTTAACGATCATGGTGATTTTAGAAAGCATTATCAACTCATAAATTTCGTTGTCATCCAATTCTGCTTAAAGATATGCTCGAGTTCTTTTATCCATTCCGTCCATGCCTCATCCTTCATAAGAGGGAAGCCACAATGATGGTTTGACCATTTGAAGGAAGAAATGCCTAACTTAGCCTGAAATGGGTTGGGGATGAACCATTTCTCCTTGGGCATGTTGTTTTCAACAGCAAATGGAGCCTGAGAAATCCATGTAGGTCATAAAGAGTGCACTCCTCCCTCCTTGAAGAAGAGTTTAGTGTGCAGGCCTGCCCGAGGGCGATGAAGGCCGTTGAGAAGACGACGCATGATGGAAATCTCTTCACCAGTCTTGCAGGGAGATTGAATTCAGGCAACTTTGGGTGCCATTGGATGATCTTGAGGAAAATATAAGAAGAGAATCGGAGTCAAGAGGCAAGAGTTAAAGAACAATAAGAGTTTCTAAAGGTGTGAGTTCTAGAAATTCTGGGGAGTTTTGAAAATTCAAAGGCTCGAAATGGTTAATTGTGCTTTGCTGAAGAGGTTAAGTAAGGATCATATAATAAGTGGTTGTTTAATGGTGGAATTCATGGGTTAGTGCAAAGGTCTTGTTAACCAACGATTACTTTAAATGGTACAAGTCCCAAATGAAGGCGTGTAACGGTTGTTAATATGCAACAATTATTTAATCATTATTAGCGCTTGGGATTGCAGCCTCAACAATGATTAAAGGGGGCACTATTTGGGTTAATATTTGAACCTTGGGCTGCAAGTATATGGAAGCCCTAAAGATGCCAACTAAAAGAAGACTTGCCCGAAGCCCAGCATCAAGCCCAAAGACAAATTGGCGCCTTCCCATTAATGCATAGGGCATGTGCTTATGATTTAAATGTCAAGTGATAGGGACTAACTCACCATCAGCCAAAAAGTACTTTTTAGTGGCAATACAAGTAAAAAAATGATGAGTCACTACCCTCTAATTGCTTTCGGGCAAAAGAAAAACTACAGCCCAATTGTGATAATATGTCAGCCATTGCACTAAATGCAAATCCAGTTTTCCATTCAAGGATAAACACCTTGACACAGACTATCATTTTGTGAGAGAAAGAGTTCAACAATGAGACTTTAAGGTGTTGTACATTCCAACTGAAGATCAAACTGCAGATATACTGACAAAGGGATTACACAGTCTTTCTTTTATTCGACATTGTTACAATCTCAAACTGGGAAATCCCAGTTGCGATTGAGGGGGGATGTTGAATATAGTTGACTGCCATGTCATCTGCCATGTCATTATTGAAGTGTAATATTGCTGAGTCATCAAAGATCAGTTAGAAAGTTGTTAGAGAGTTTGGTATGTTAGTTGTAGTGGTTAGCGTAAAAGCTAAGTCTCTTTAGCCCTATATAACTCAGAAATGAGATAGATTGTAATTCATTTAAGTTGATCAATGGCAAGAGATTGTATTCATCTCTCTGATTCCTCTCTTCTTCCTTGAAGTCTTTTTCTGCAGTTATCATTTTTCTGCAATTCTCATGCTCTGTTATCAGCAGACTGCTTAGTTAATTATAAAGTTATCCTTGTTGTGTTACTACAGCTTATCTTCATCATTCTTTTCAACTTCCCTATTGGAGATTATGTTGAGAGAATTATTAGTATCTCAAACGTTAGTTTGGTTTAGTTCAAGATTTCTCTCGACACAGAAGGATGTTAGGTTGAGGAACCTCCAATTTTCTTTTAAATGATTTTACTTGACAATTTTACCCATAAGAGATTAGGGGCTCAAGGAGGTCATTTTAATTAGCAGTTGAAGTCCAGGTCTTGATGTGTAGGCTAACTTGCCTAATTCTTATGGTATAATTTCTCCCTCTTGGTTGTAATCCTTTCTTTTACTAACACAATTTCTCCTTTTCAATAGAAAAACAATAGCATATGAAAGGAAATGCCAATACGATTGATTATCAAAGTGCGGAATGAATAATAAATAATAAATTATGATATTATTATATTAATTGAAATCAAATAAACAAGAGCCAACACAACTACGAACTATGGACTACATGGTAACTCAGTTATTTAGAAGTGAATAACAAACATCATATTTATAGTAAACTAAACCCTAATAACTAAATAAAAACCTAATTCTTTGACCAAAAAAATAAAAATACGAAAATCTAATTCTAACAAGCTGGGCCTAAAACCCAAATAAGTAAATAATCATAAAATACTAATACTTTCCCAAAAAAAAAAAATGCAGTATCTCTAATTTATCTTGCTAATTACAATTTGTCTTTTTCTTATCTAACCGTTTGCATTGACTTTTAACCCTTCCAGTATTTTTTTTTATTTTTTTTAATTTTAGAGTTTTAATGAAACATTTCCTGTACTGTTCACTTTAACGAAAAAAAAAAAAATTTTACTCTAAAAAGTCACTCTTGGTACTATTCACTTACAACACTTTTTTTGTCATTTTGATTAAAACTCAAAGTTTTCAAGCATTTTTCATTAGTTTTTCTTTTTTTCTATCATTTTGTGTGTATTGACTTTTAATGTAGGCTTTGGGGCTAGGCTGAGGGTACTTTCTTGTGGGCTACATAGTATCAATGTGCAGAAGTGTGGCGAGGTGACGTAAACATATGTAATTCAATTTACCTGCATGGTTAGTAGAACTTTGGATCATATCTAAACTTATTAAATTAATCCACATAATCTAGGTTTATTGACGTGCTAGTGAAACCAAAAGCTTGAACTTTCAAAACTCATATGTCACAGATGCCACCTAAAGCGTGAAAGCAAGCTCCTTCCAGTCTCGGATGGTGGCAATGATGTCATCGATCGAGTCAAGAAACGTCGCGGAGTTGGTCCAGTTGGATCAGATTGGGTGGTCAACATTAACATACTACAAAATCTGACAGTCCAGCAACTTCAGTGAGAGCTCGAGGGTGACGCAGCTGCAAGTTCTCAAGATGGGAATTTGAGAGAGGGGATAATCTATCAGAGTTGAAGAGAGAAGATGGTGGTGGTCGGAGTCAGGGAAGAGAGACCTCGAGGTTGATGCTTGCGTTGGGAATTCGAGAGAGGAGAAGAGAAGATATGTGTAAAAAATGATAGTGGAATTTAATCTCCATATGATTGACGATGGAAACAATCTAAGCTAGGACCATTTTTTCAGAGATTTAGACCTGCACCGCCCCACCCAGTTTTGAATTTACAAAATCCGGACCCACCTCGTACCTACCTCACGGGTCCTAGACCCATTTGCCCAACAAACTTTTATCCAAGGCTAAAATAGTAAAAATAAAAACTTGTTAAAATTGAAAAAAGAGAAACTGTTGGAAAGAGAGAGTATGTTTTTTCACCCATTACGTTTGCTAGCTTAACCAAACAAGTTTTCCTTTCTCCACGCTCTACTTTGGCAGTTTACCACTATCAGTTACTTACGGTTTACAAATCTCACTCCAACACCCTTCATATGCGCAGCCAAGGAAGAATTTGAAAGGCAGCAAAAGGTCCTATTACATTGTATTTTCTGATTGCTTTTCTAACTTTGCGTTTCTTTCTATTATTTGTTGGTATGTTCGTTTCTTCCATCTTATTCTCAGTTCCAGCGAAGAACTTCTCCATGCTTCTTCTTTCATACTCATACGAAAAGATTTGAATGTTTAATTGGTGGAGAACTTCTTCATCTAATATTGATTGTCCTTCACGAAATTACGTGTAATCATATTTTTGTTTGATGTTCTATCGATTTAGCTTGGCTTTACTCTAATAGCATTCTCTGCGCAACCACGCAAGATCTCTTTAATTTTGTTTCTTTTGGTGCTATTCTAATATGGTGTTGGGTTCTTCTTTCATTTATTTTTCTTCCATTCATTTAAAAGGAAAGGATTGAAGTTAACGTCTAACCGGTGTATTATTGGTTATGATGAAAGGTTACTATTTCAAATGAAGGTAAGATATGTCGTTTATCCCCTTTTTGTCTCGTTTCGATCTACTATCATAAGGTATTATAATTGAGTAGGGTCGGCCTTGAGGGTAGTCCGAGTAGGCGCCTGTCTAGGGCCCCCATTTTATATCCTGTAATTAATATATAAATACAAAAAAGTAAAAAAAATATCATAATTCATTTATTAGTGCAGTGGAAATCGACGCCCCATTCTCTCTATTTCTATTGAATGTTTAAATCATCACATGATCTTGAAGATTGTACTTTAAGGTAATCAAAACTTTGAATTTATATTTTGCTTTTCAATAACTTTTTATTCAATGGATTATTTTAATATTCAATTTGTTAGTGTGATGTTGATTTTAGAAAAGAAAAAAAAAACACAAAAAAAAATTGGCGTTGTTGAATTTATTATACTCGTCAATCAAGTTTTATTGTCCTTTACTCTCTTGATCATCAAGTTTTATTTTCTAAACTCTCAATCTTACACTCTTGACTGCAAACATTTAGTACATTTGCATCTAAAAACATGAGGCGTGTAATGTTTAAGTAATGTTTGTATATTTATCTTCTTTTGATATTAATTTGTAATGATATTTAATGTGAAAATAGAATATTTTATGTATTTAGCGAATTCTTTTTTATACAAATTAATATACAAAGAACCAGAGATCAGAGAATTTTAAGACCCCACTTTGAAAGGTCTTCAAATTCTCAGGACCGGCCTTGTAATTGAGATTTTCAACGATATTGTTGGTTTTTGTTGTCAACCTTTGCAGGGAGTTCATGGAAATATGAAATTGGGAGAGTGCCTTCAAGTGTTCCTGATACCATATAGCCAGCAGATTGTACAATATAAGTTCGATTTGACAAATTTTCCCCGAAGCAAAGAGAGGGAAAAAAAATAGAGGTATTAGGTGAGTGTAAAGATGCTAGATGCTTAATAGATGCTTTTCTTCCCAGAAGCTGCTCCAATATATATCATATCCACAACGTAAAAAAGTTGTCACATCAAATCACAACACACACATCCCCACTCAAGAAGATAAACACTGACCAATTCCCACCACATGTTAGTTGTCTACTCAGCACCAATTCAGAATATCCCAATTCCTTATCCACTTCCATTACTTAAATCATTTTCTGGTCAGTATCGCGGCAAACCGCAAATGCACCAACTTTGCAACCATTTATTTATTTTATCCTCACCATTCTTCCTTTTGCCAGATTGAAGTTTCCCATAATATCCATCTCTCTCTCTGGTTTTCTTCCATGGCTTCTTCTCTGCATTTTCTTCTTCTTGTCTCTTCATTTCTCTACACTTTCAGCATATCTCAAGCCAAACCCTACAACCAACTAAATGGTCTCATTTTTCATGTGAAAAAAGATGTGTCTACTCTCCAGTACGTGACCGAAATTCACCATGGCACTCCACTTGTACCCACAAAGCTTGTAGTTGATCTCGGCGGTCCATTTCTCTGGCTCAACTGTTCATCATCGTCTTCTAGCCGTCTGATTTATCAGCGCTCAATCCAGTGCCTTGCAGCCAAGCCAAAAACCCATGTTCAGGGTAGCAACAAGAAGTGTGATATTTTCACGGAAAATAGGATAACTCAAGTGGCGACACAAGGGGATTTACTAGAAGACATCATGGCCGTTGATCAAGTCACAGATGGGTCAAAGACAGGATCAAAATCAATCACCGCAGTTGGTTACAACATCCTTTTTTCTTGTGCACCCATATTCTTGTTAAACGGCATCCCAAGTGGCGCAAAGGGAATGTTAGGCCTCGGAAGGACGCAAATGTCAATGGCCTCACAAATTTCTGCCCAACTCAGCTCCAAATTCCAATTCATCATCTGCCTTTCTTCATCAAACGGTGTCGTCTTACACGAAAACGGCCACCACAGTTCGAATTTTCGCTCCAAAATTCCGGACTCAATGACATACACACCCCTTGTTAACCAAGTTGAGTCACCACATGAGTACATCATCAATTTGAAGTCCATCAAAATTTGTGGGAAGAAAATGTCTCCGGATATTGTAGAAGGGAAGATTAAGCTAAGCACAATTGTTCCCTACAGTACTGTGGAGAGCTCGATTTATGCTACATTTACTAAAGTTTATGAGCAGGCTGCAATGTCTATGAACATGACTAGGGTTTCCCCTGTGGCACCATTTGGGCAATGTTTTAGTTCACGAAAAAACGATGGCACGTTGGTCGGTCCAAAGGTGCCGGTTATCGATCTGGTGCTGCAGAGTGAGATGGTGGAGTGGAGAATTCACGGCAGAAACTCGATGGTTCAAGTAAGCGATGAAGTTATGTGCCTGGGGTTTTTGGATGGAGGTTTGAACTTGAAGACTTCGATGGTAATAGGGGGTTATCAATTGGAGGACACCCTTCTACATTTTGATGTAGGTGCTTCTAGGCTAGGATTTACTCATCAAAGTTGTTTTGAGTTGAGATTAGACTCTGAGTTTAAACATACACTGTAGCATGTTAACAAATGTTGTTCAATTTTGGTAACAACTACACGCAATGGTCCTATACTTGACTTTCTGTACCTACAAACTGTGCTTATTGTACTAGATTTTGACTATCCAGATGAACTTTTTTTGTGCAAGCCTGAAGCACGATGTAAACGGGAAAACAAGCGTCACATTTTATTAAATAGAATAAATTGTCGATTTAATAACTGAATTATTTGTGTGAAATTAAGTTTTGGTACAATTAAGTCCTCAAACTCATTAAAAACTTTTAGTTTCATTCCATTTGAAGCTATCCTATCTAATTTTCTATCAATTTAAGTCCATGATTTACACGTAACACATTTTGAAGGGTAATACCGTCATTTTCTGGCCCATAAGTCCTTAATGTTGTCCTAGGTTGTGAATTGTGCTAGTTTACTCTCCAAAATTAATAACATACACTTGTATTTTTTCAAAAAAAAAAAGAAAGAAAAAAAAAGAGTTAATAACAATAAGTTATTGAACTCACCTACAGATGATGTTAAAATACTTTCAATATTTAAAAAAAAAATCAAAAACAAAAACCTCCCACTCCCCCACATTCTCTCTCTCTCTCCCTCTCCCTCTCTCCTTATCATTTTCTAAAAAAAATGTGTTCATACACACAAAGTGTGTAGACAAATACTAGTATTTATTGTTGAGATCAACTTTGAGCATTATGCTAGAATCTCACGTGAGCACGGGCGAGGTGGTGAATGAAGGGATTGTTGGGTTGTGGATTATTTTAGTACACGTGTGTGTAAGTATGGCTAGTGATGTAAGCATAAATAATCCAATTAATATGCGTGGTTAGCAGAACGTTAGATTTTGTTTTAACACATGCATAAACTTAAATTAAGTTTAGAATTCCAACCTTTTGGTTTCATATGCAGACAAATTCAATGTTGTTGATGTTTCCAAGTGTTGGCACGCCGACAATGATTTGCTAGTATTTTCTCCTCCAAGTGGTGTGGCGGCAAAGCGGAGTGGGTGTGGTATTTTCTTTTTCGGAAAACCTAATACCATTATCTTTAATTTCTGTTTCGCAACTTATGAAATCGTATATTAGGTCTAAAGACCCCTTAGGCTTATATAGAGAACAATTTCATAAGCCGGTACGTTTAGAAATTATTCTTCCACCACTGCATGTATGCCGCAAGTCTTAGGGAACCTTTCCTTGGGCTTGCCACACCTCCATATTGCCACTGGGCTTTTAGCCCAAGTCGCTCATATTTTATTTATTTAATTAATTAGTTTTTTCTTTAGACTGAACTTTATTACTTTATCTTAGTTCAAATAATTGACAATAAATAAAAGTCTCAAACTAATTAATCAAATATATTTTCTCAAAAGAAAAAAATAATCAATATAAAATAAAACATTTAATATAAGCAATTTTATATTAAATTGAGTCTTCGCCCATTTTATCCTTCGATAGCATTCTATTGGGTGTGACCTTACAGGTTACAACTAAAACTAGCAGTGGATAATTTGATTAGTTGAATTAATCTAATTTTACATTATTAGAGACCATTCTAATCCAACCTTATATGAATATACATAAACCGAATAGTAACATTTAGCGATGGCTTTCAGCTACCCAGATTAGTTAGAATATGTTTGAATTCATAAAAACACATATATTGAACCTTAACTAAGGTTAAAATGCAATTCAGTTCATCTGTCTACTATATTTTGATCATATATTTTACAGCACGGAACTATTGTCAAACTCTAAATATACCCATAATGTATCTCATATATGTTACTTTGGCCAAAGACTTCTTGAGATAGATCGTCAAGGGGTTCCAAGAATATCTACTTCATGAGTACCTATAAGGTGACAGATTCCTAATTGTGCCTTCACGTATCTTCATGAACTCGAACCTCACACTATAAAGCTTTGCTTTCATTTGAGAGCTTAGAGGTGAGACCAAATTTAGATCATATTCATTTACATGAGATAACAAGTGATGCCACAGGTCAAAGAACTAGTTGCATCCATAATTCAGAAGTGTGGTGCAATTGACAAGTATGTAATTTTCCATTCATACACTTCTATGGTTGGTCAATGTTCAGTAAACTCAATCTCATAGATGAATATGTTTATGTCCATTTTATGTCACTACATGCTTAGTCTGAGACTTAATACTGAACATGACATAAAACGGCATTTGCGGATGTTCGCTAGTCCACTCAATCATCCTATGGTTAGGAACATGATTTAGGACTTAAGATCCGTAGAGTAAGTATCTTAGTGTTGGAACTTCTTTGCAATCTCGTCTGTAATCACTAACAAACCTTCTGAATCCGCTATTACGTCACGTGCTCGATTGACAGATATTCGCACTTGCTCTCATCTTAAATGACTCGACACTGGGTTGCCACAAATAACCAATTATGTGTTGCCGCATAAATTGCTTTTCGAGCATACTCCAACAAAGAAATTAGGGTGATAAAGATTTAGATCTGCTTGTAGTTCGTTTTGTGTGGAGTTACATTTTCTTATTCAAGTTTGGGATAGGGTGATGTGTTAATTGAGGATGATTTGTGTCATAATGCTCTAATGAATTTTTACCAGAGTGGAAAGCATTCTTTTTGCATTTGAGATATTAGTTCATGTCATCTTGTTGAATTCTGTGTGCTACATTATGATTCTCCTTTGCTTTGTTTAGAGTACTCTTTTCTTGTGCTTCTTGAAATTGCTTTAATTACATGCTTGGCCCTAATATTGGCTACTATATAACTACCTAGCCCCTTTTTTTTTCTATTCGGTGATAAGTTGACTGGTCGCGATCCTATATATGCTGCATCTCTTTTATATACCGAGGATGTGGTTTGCAGAGTTGCAAAACATGAAGTTACCTCATCTCTAACGTTTTTAGACCATAACAAAGTGAGATTTTCTATAGAATTATTTTTGTCTTTCACCTACAGCATTCTCTTATTTACTCTTCTATTTACGGCAGTTACAAGGAAAGGAAACTACACCCAAGAGAGAAATTGGTGATACGAACAATAGCTGGGATGGTGATGCATTTATTCACGATTGCATATAATAGTTTGTCTTAGTTTATTTATTAGATAATAAGATAATAGTTTTGAATGAATATAGGCTTATTAATTGAAATGCCCCATGAAAGTGTCATTAGTCTTAATATATCCTCTAAAACTGTTTTTATCTCATTTTGCCTTCATTTTCAACTCTTTTGGTCTTACTTCATTTCATTCCGTTAAATAATTGTTAAAAATCCAAGGGTACTTTAGACATTTACTTTTTACAGATCTATTTACCTTTAGCCTACACACTAAACTAATCTCAATTCCATTTTTGACAGCATTAATTCAAACCCCATCAGTTAGGGCGTTTTTAAAAATAAATTGTTCAATAAATAGAAAATTTTTGAGCAACAAAATCATTATATCAACGAAAATAAAGGTTACATTTTTGTTCTTAGAGTCATTTCACTTGCAAGGCATCCACGTATTGGCTCGAAACTTTGCACTTGAAAAATACTCAATACAACATAAAGGAAACATGATCAGCCTATTTCAAGATATTTTTCTAATCAAAATTGGTGCATAACCACAAGTTTTACCCATAAAAAAAAAATGATTTCAGGTCAATTGCACAAAATATAATCTAAAAAAAAACCATTAAACTATCATCTAAAATACTTCTCAAGTAAATAAATAAAATCTTCTGAAGCAAATGTGCACAGTTTGCAACCAAAAGTTTCACATTGTTACTTGGAATTTTTCTAATGATTGAATAATTTATTTTTAAAAGGCAGTAACTCATAGGGTTTGAATTAGAGTTATAAAAAAAAAATGAGATTGGTTTAGTGTGCAGGTCAGAGGTAAATAGATGTGTAAAAAATAAAATGTCTAAAATATCTTTGAATTTAACAGTTCTTTAACGAATGGGGTGAAGTAGGACTAACAGAGTTGAAAATATCAGTTTCAGGGAGTGAAGTGAGACAAAACTAATTTCAAGAGATAGGCTGAGACTGAATGGTAGTTTCAGGAGCCACTTTAGGTGAAATTGCATAGTTATAAATTTAAAATAGGAAAAATTGCATAGTTATAAATTTAAAATGTGTGTATATGTACATAGCTATCTTTAGGTGAGAGATCCCTCAAATAGCTTATTTTGAAATACTTTATTGTGGTTTCTATTTGTAATTATTTCAAGGATCTGAACCGTCTATATTTCAATTCATCATTTATAAATCACATTTACAAAGAAATAAGATAAATCCAAAATTATTAAAATATTCATTTGTAGTGAAGAAAAATAACTAACAAAGTTTTAGAAAGACACTTAAATAACATAGATGAACGTGGGTTTAGCTGGCAAGGAATTGTCCAGAGTCGCCATCCTTGACAGACCAGGGTTCTAATTTTGGGTCAATATAATTCACTCCTGAATTTTGGTCAATGATATTCATTGACCTCCAAGTCCTATAAATTGGCGGCAATGCCATCCCACTTCAACCATTCAAATCCATCAACTGCTAACAATGGCTTCCTCCTCATTTCATTGCCTTCTCTTTTGCTCATCACTCTTCCACTTCTTCGTTGTCCCTTCACTTGCCAAAACTGCCTCTTTCAGACCAAAAGCCCTTGTTCTTCCGGTGGCAAAAGACTCCTCTACCCTCCAATACCTCACCACCTTCAGCTAAAGAACCCCTTTTGTACCCATAAAACTCACAGTCGATCTTGGTGGTCGGTACCTTTGGGGTGGACTGTGAAAAGGACTACATTTCCTCCACCTACAAGCCGGCTCGCTGCAACTCCGCCCAATGCTCACTCTCAAACTCCCAAGTCTTGTACTACAGAGTGCTACTCTTCCCCTAAGCCAGGCTGCAACAACACATGTGCTCTCTCCCCCGGTAACACCATCACCCGCACCTCCACAAGCGGCGACCTTGGTCAAGACACTGTGTCCCTACAATCCACAGATGGGTCTAATCCAGGTAGGCTGGTCTCTGTCCCCAACCTACTCTTCACTTGCGGTCCCACATTTCTGTTGGAAGGCCTAGCGAGTGGTGTCAAGGGAATGGCTGGCCTCGGCAGGGATAAAATCGGGCTTCCCTCTCAATTTGCTTCCGCCTTTAGCCTCCCCCGAAAGTTTGCAATTTGTTTGAGCTCTTCATCGAAGTCTAGTGGCGTTGTGATCTTCGGGGACATGCCTTATACTCTCTTTCCCAATATTAAGGTGTCCAAGTCACTTACTTTCACTCCATTGATCATCAACCCTGTCAGCACAGCCGGTGCTTATTTTCAAGGCGAGCCTTCGGTGGGGTACTTCATCAATGTGAAGTCGATTAAGGTATATGGAAAGGTTGTTGCTTTGAATACTTCATTGCTGGCCATTGACAATGAAGGGTATGGCGGCACGAACATTAGCACGGTGAATCCGTACACGGTTTTGGAGACCTCAATCTACAACGCAGTTGTGAATGCATTTGTGAAAGAAGTTGCCTATAAAATCCCAAGAGTGAAAGCAGTAGCGCCTTTCGGAACATGCTTCAGTTCGAAGAACATCGGTGTTACAAGGGTTGGGCATTCTGTGCCTTCAATTGATCTCGTGTTGCAGAGCGAGAGTGTATATTGGACAATGTTCGGAGCAAATTCAATGGTGTATGTGAGCAATGATGTCTTGTGTTTAGGGTTTGCGGATGGAGGTGAGAGGCCAAGGACTTCTATTGTGATTGGAGGTAATCTTCCTGGTATTATGATAGTCTATCAGTAAACTTCAAAGAGTTTTTCAGAATGAAGAGATATATGAAAACTTCAAATTTTGTATATGATTTTTTGGAAGGGTGATGTTAGATAGATCGTCTACGTAATTAATATTTTGTAGATCACATGATATGGTGATTGATAATAAAATTTCTTCTAAAACATAATCTTGTTAGCATTTTATTTTTGGATCTTTCCATGCTTATGTAATTGCAATTATCTTGAAGAATTGTTAAAATTATATCTCATGGCCAAACAATTCACTTACCAACTATTTATACCAACTTACTTTGCCAAACTGTGGCACTATCATTTTGAGGCCTACCCGATCCGTACAATTAGTCACCCCAACCAAACAAAGTAAAGAAGAAAAAAATTTAGTAAAATTGATTGTTATTAGCATTCTTAAAAAAATTGTTATTAACACTCTTAAAATTTCATCTTATTCTCCTAACTTTTTATTTTAGAAAGAAAAATAGTCTTATAAGGAGTTTGGAGCGTCAATAGTTGAACCCAAATGATCAGAAATCAAATTTTAATTGCTAAACGAATCAAATTTAAGAGACTTAAAAGATAATACTAACGATGATATGGTGAATATCTTATTTGACAAAGAATAATATGGTGAATATCATATGACTATTAAATGGTGAATATATTTCATAAATGTATGTAACGTAGTCAAAACACCCAAAAAAATAAGTCATGCGACAAAACAACAATCATATAGACGACATATTAAAAAATTAATCATTTCAGAAACAGAAACTTAAAAGAGCAAGACTGTAAAGGTGGGAATGACTTTCCAAAAATAAAAAACTTGGAAGACAAATTCTCCGAAAAAAAAAAAATTTAAAGGATGAAAACTTTTATAGGGTTAATTACATCAACACTCCCTAAAGTTTATTGAGTTTTCATAAAACTCTCTCACATTTAAAACATTACACTAACACCTCCTCACGCTTTAATTCACTTTCACATAACACATTTAGTCAACATTCTACTAATAAATTGACAACTTTACCCGTCTAACTAATTAATTAAATGATAAAGAAATATATTAGGATAAAAATATTATAAATAAATAATATTTATAATGGTTGAACCAACTCTTGCTTTGCTCGCAGACAGTGAACCAACTCTTGAAATTTACAATGGTTGAAAAGTGCTGTGAAACAACTCTTGAAACTTACACAGCCTTGCTCGCGGCTTATAGTCGAAACAATCTGCTTGACGAGGCATTTTTAGCTTTTAACTAAAGACCCTCCCGCAATGCCAATCTGACAATTTTACTTACAGTACCTTGATAAAGGTTTGCATTGATTTAATTATTTTTAAGTTTTTAATTAATTTACTTTTTATATTTTCTTTTTCCTAATATATTTCTTTGTTATTTAATTAATTAGTTATAATGGTAAAGTTGTTAATTTATTAGTAGGATCTTGACTTGAAGGTATATGTGAAAATGAATTAAAATATAAGGGATGATAATGTAACATCTCAAATGCGAAGAAATTATGTAAAAAGTGGAACTTGAGGGTTGAGTATTAGTGTAATTAACCTAACTTTTTTATATATCGGAGAGCGAAGAGAAACAGAACGATCAAATACGCGCGACAAACAGACGCACTCCTGATACTCGCAGCTTCTTCAGTGAGTCTTTTCTTCTGTTCCCCTTTTCACTCTCTCCTTTCTTTCCAATTCTTCAATCTTTGTCAATTAATTTTATTTTTATTCTCACGCGCACCTGATCTCTAGATGTTTGTTCGTCCAATTTGATCTGAATTTAGCACTTCTGGGGTTGTTGAACAAACCAATGATCGGGGAAAGCTAAACTCATACTTTAATTTATTTTCTTAGAAGGAGCTGAATTCATGTGGGTAAAATTGTTTCTGGTAATTTACTAGTTTGATTTGCTCCACGGGCTTGTTTAATTGGTTATTCTCTAATCTCCAAAGGGTCACATCCGGGTTTACAATCCAATGTTGAAAAACTCGATTGATGTGTCCATGTCTATTTTCTCAAGAAAACTTGATCTGAATTTTGCCACTTGATTTGCTTTTTGTTAAGATGGTATTTCAGAAATTAGTCAAAGTTCATGTTTTGAGATCTAGATTCTGTGTTATGCATTGTGATGGGCTCTGGTCTGAATCGTATTTGCTGTACGTACTATTTTATATCGGTTCTTCTGTCAGTTGTTGCTGCCGGGGTTTTCTTTTCGCTTGAGTATATGATGCAATGGACCCGATTGATGAATTTGCTCGGCTTATCATTCGGATGTGTTCCTTGCAGGGGATTTAGTCTACAAGAGTGAAAAAAAGTTCCTGTGATTAGCAATGGATCAGATTGATGAATCCCTTAAGAAACAAATTGCAGCATTGTTGAGAGTTATACATGTGACAAGATGCTCTAAAGAGGACAATGTTCCGTGCCAAATTGAAGAGGTCACCAGATTTTTATATCACGATCTGTTTTTTGCCATTCACTGTTCATTGTTTCTACCGCCCTGCTTTCCGCAGTTTATTATTTTCATTTTCCAGGGTCTGTTCTTGGGTTCTATTGGAGCTGCAAATAACAAGGAGGAACTGAAAAACTTGAACATCACACACATTTTGACCGTGGCTAATTCTTTGGCACCTGCATATCCAAATGATTTTGTGTATAAGGTTATAAATGGTATGAATGTTGTTCCTCTGATCCGGTGCAATTCGTTTTCTCATGTCATTTTGGTTTTAAAACTACCCTCTACTTTTTAGGGATAATTGTACTTTAATTTATTGTCTCAGAGTTGATTGTTTCTTACAGTCTTCAACTTGCATTTAACCCTTTGTTTTGTGTAGCTGAGATGATTGTTTAGTCGATCATAAGTGGTTTTCAAACGATTTAGCATATATATGAAATGCATAAGTAAATCTGTACGTCGTTGGTGGTCTCCATTCTTCTAGATAACATTCCACTGCAGCATGCAATCATGATTCTAATGCCTTGGTCTACAAGTGTTTAACATAATCGTGATCATATTTGTTGTTTCAAGGCAAGGTGTGAGATTGTAGAACTGAATTCGTATTTATCTTTTGGTGCTCTTTTAAAATTGAGATAGTTGCGGACAGAGTCTGCACAGATTTAAAACAGCACTTCGATGAGTGCATCGATTATATTGATGAAGCTAAAAGGTCGGGTGGTGGTGTGTTGGTTCATTGCTTTGTGGGAAGATCCAGAAGGTGATTTTTCTCTCCCAGTATAGGTTATTGCTTTCAGGTTGTCTTCTTCGCTATCCTATTTTAAGTCATGCTGTTAATCATTCCCATGTGAATTGAATCCTTGAAATATGGTTATGTTGATCTCTTTGATACATCATGGATAACGAACTAATGTTTTAGGATAAATGTACTTTAGAATTTGCATCTCTGTTATTAAATATTAGAATAGAAAAAATTTTGGTTTTCAATTGCTGGTTTTAAAAATCGGCCAAGGCAGCCACCTAGGCACTAGACGGTGGAGGACCGATGCAATTTAAGCGAAAACCCGCAGAAAAATCGGGTAGGGGCTAGGCGGTATCTGGGCGGTTCTATTGTTTTTAAATGTTTTTAATTAACTTGAAAGGGTTTTCTGGGTAAACTACTAAAATAGAACCTAGTTTATGAATTAGTGAATTTTCAAATTTGGTTTTGGATTTTAGGTTTTTCTTATTTTTATTGCATTAGTTTTGGTGATGACAATGCTATGATGACTTAAGTTTTAAGTTTTAAGTTTTAACTTTACCAAATTCTTACTACAAGTATATTTTTTATTTGGATAAATTACATAAAACTACCTTAACTATTGGGTCAGTCACAGTTTCATACCCCATCTTTAAAAAATGTCAATGTCATACCTCATCTTATGAATTTGTTACAATATGTCAATGTCATACTTCATCTTACGAATTTGTTACAATTTCATACCTTCCGTCAATTTGTTTATCAGTTATTCCGTTAAATAGTAACGTGGCTTCAAAAAATTAATTAAATATTAAAAACTAAAAAAAAAAAAAAAATCATTTAATTTTTTTTTGCATGGGGACCCACCCCTTATCCCCCTCACCCTTTCTTCTCCATCCCATCTTCCCCAAACCCAAAACCAAATCCACCCCTGCATCAAACCCCAAAAGCTCCACTTCTTATGCCTCCTATTCGACTTTTGATGATCAACATCAACCCCATTGGTTGATTCCAAAGCCGCATTTTTGCAAATAGGTTTAGAGCCAATCTCAACGTCGCCGCCCTCCTCTGCACGCTCATCATCTTCAACAAACTTCAACTTCAAATTCGAACCCATCGAACTCATCAATTCTTTCTCTGTAATCAGCAGCTAGGCCCCATAGAAAAACTCTGAAGTGGCAAGGGAGAATCTAGCATTTGATCCCAACTTCAGCTCATCAACCTCCGCCATTGCGGATCGATCGAAACTTGGCCGTTTGAAGCTCCGTTGCCGCTGCGAATTGTAAAAGTCTTTGGTCTGAGCTGAGCCGCCTGGACTCCTCTCCCAGCTCTCTTCCATCGAAATCATCGGGGTCAGCCTCGGGTGAGGGGCTCTTGGACCCAAATACCCGTCCCAAGAAGCCGGAAACTCGTCCAGTGACATCCGACCCGGATCGGGATTCGTATCGCACGATCTTCTCCCCAATGTGTACTCTCCTACTTCGGACTGGGTCTCCCACCTCTTCTTCCCCACGAAGCCCTTATTCTCAGCCTTCTTCGTCTTCTGCTTCCGCCACCATCGATTTACCTTTTTATTCAAAACCGACGCCATTCCCCAAAACTAGATCCACCCCTCACCCTTTCTTCCCCCTCCCGTCTTCCCCAAACCCAAAACTCAAAACCTCGACGAAGCGTTGGGCTAGCTGTTTCAGCGCCATCGTCACCTAGTACGGCGGCCTGCGAGGGGGTTTATTGTCCAAGTCCCACAAGATCACGACTTTCTTCTGCTTCGGCATGTATATGCCCTGCTTGTTTTGCACCATGTCGATTTCGGAGCTTGCAGATGACTTGATGACATCGCGGCGGCAATTCATGGTGGTTGAGGTGACGGCAGTGGTGATGATGGAGAAAGGGGTGGATCTGGCTTTGGGTTTGGGGAAGACAGGAGGGGGAAGAAAGGGTGAGGGGGATAAGGGATGGGTCCCATGCAAAAAAAACAAATAAATAAATAAATGATTTTTATTTTTTTAGTTTTTAATATTTAATCATTTTTTTAATATTTTATTAATTTTTTAAGCCATGTCACTATTTAACAGAATAATTGACAGACAAACTGACAGAAGGTATGAAATTGTAACAAATTCGTAAGATGAGGTATAACATTGACATTTTTTAAAGATGGGCTATGAAATTGTAACTAACCTAATAGTTGAGGTAGTTTCATGTAATTTACCTTTTTTATTTTTTAAAGTGTATTAGGCACTTATTTATATGTTATATAATAAATTTAATTAAATCCGCCTAATTCACCTAGCGCCAAGGCACTAGGCCCCAGCCTGCCGTCCGGCTAGCGCCTAACGTCTTTTAGAACCTTAGCTTTTAACTAGATAAAAGTCAAGAGTTATGTAGTTTTGCCTAGTTTGGTTGAATCTAGATCAGATTCAGGCTCTGTCGAATGTTCATCAATTCTAGTAAGCCATATTCAAACTAAGTCAGGACACTTGTACAGCATAGAAGAAAATATACCCTTGACGGAAACACTTTGCTTCCTAATATTATTTGAATTGGGAGTTTTTAATTGTTTTCCTTGCAGTGTGACTATTATTGTTGCATATCTGATGAAAAAGCATGGCATGAGCGTATGTCAAGCACTTGAACATGTGAAGAGCAGACGACCTCAGGCATCTCCTAATGCTGGTTTCATTTCACAACTGCAGAGCTTTGAAAGGTCTCTTAGTGGTGGGTCATTATCGTTACACTTTTAATCCAACTAAAGTTTATGAATTACCGCCTGAAGTAGCCGAACCTGTGTAGCGTAGTCTTGATTTTACTGACAGAGCTCCTCCTTAGCCAAAGCATAACATAACATTTTCCTGCTGACCCGAACTCATGAATTTTAAGCATATAGATGTTGGCATTAATATTAACATTGTTGGTGATTTTAGGGGGCTAGTTCTCACTATGCTTTATTGGAAATGCGTGCCACAAAAGGGTAAGATGACAGTGCACATGTTGAGTGTGGCATGCATATTTTGTGGCAAGATTTAAGCTATAACTGATCTCATGTTAGTATATGCTGTCACATAAGTCAGCCGTGAAAAAAAAACTGTAGGATAATGCTTAAGCATGTTTTTGGACCCTCAAGTTATTAATGGCTTCAACTAAATGCCAGTGAGACAGAAACTATCTTCACTTATTCTTGGTGTAAAATTATTGTGCAAAAGTTTTGCCCTTCAAAATCCGTAGTTGTCAGCTGAGCTATATGATATCAAGATGTAGGTTTTTCGCTTTAAGGAAGTATTCGTATGTACATAATCTATGTTCCATGTTTATATATTTTGTACTGATGTTGGTTTGTTTGTGATTTGCTTTGGATTTTCCTTTATATGCTCAAGCAGATGAAGAGAACAAGACAACATAATGTAGGTGGGCGGACTTCTGCGTTGAAGAACCTCGCTTTAATACATACGTTACCCAAGTTAGATGAAATTTGGTGGTACAGATAGAACTTTCAGTTGTTACAAAAGAAAATGATGTGCTCTGGATTTAAAGTTGACTATGAACGATTAGGTTGTAAGAAGTGCAATATAGCTATTATTGCATAAAGCTTTTAATACATCTAGAGGTTCCCATAAACTTGCCCAAAGTGTTGAAATCGTCGCGGTATATATAGATCAGCAGACTGGTACTGTTTCGTTGTGATGTTAGAAGGGATGCTAATTTGTATATAAATACCAATCAACAAATCTAAACCCTAAACAATGCTGTTTTGGCAAAATCTATGTATCAATCAAAGGGAAGGATGAGAGTGACTGGAGGGGAATTGAAAGGAAGGAGAATATAAGAACATGACTTCTTTTGTGACCAATACCTAATAGCATTGGAAATTTTCAAAACAAAAGATATGAAGAGGTGACGGGTTGGAATTATTACAGTGATCAGTCGGATTGAAGCAAGATTATGAAATTTGAGAGAAGCAACAGGAGCGACTAGATGGACTGATGTCCAACGACCGGTTGGACCAATAAAACCTCGTAAGGTGACCAGTCGGAGCCTGTTGAAGGACCGGTCAATGTTGTCGTGAAATTCAAATTCTTCATGTCTCTTCGAATGTAGGGAGGTGTTTAGTCGGTTTTAAACTCTAAACTTTGATACTCCGTATATAATATCAAAAACACTTCAGAAACATGTTCCATAAGCTAGAGATTTTCAAATGAAGAGACATTTCACATGATATTGTGCCCCTTTATTGAAATGGTGCAACCTAAGTGTTATATGGTTTATGAATGATTGTTGAACCATTGTATGTATTAAACCTCTATTGACGAGTCACAGACAAGTGCTATAAGAAAATTTTATATTTCCCTCTCTGCCTTTTTTTAATTGAAACCCAAAGCACTAAGAACAAAATTACGCAGTTTATGTTTTTGGCTTAAAACTTGAGTGTTATTGTTATCTTTAGTGTGTTTCAAGTTTATCTTAGGAGTACAAAACTTGACAAACAAAAGGCACAAGGTCAGTGATGCATTATATCCACAAGATTACACACAAGTTTGGAAGACCAATTTGTTAAGCCTAATAGCGTAGTAACCTAAGTACATATCTTGAAATAATCTTTCATCTTTCTTAGCCATAACCCACTAGTCGTTACTATCCAATAAATACTATCAAACACCGGAAAAGTTTTGTGTCCAAATTTAACCACTGAACTGGTATCAATGATATTGGCGGGAGATGAAAAGCTAGCTAGTAGCAAAGTTCATGCCAATGCCAATTAATTCGTCATGGATTCTCTTACGTGTTTTTATATATAGTTGCCATAAAAGTTCTTTCTTCTTTTCTTTGGTGCCAGTTATTTTTCACCGCTTGCAAGAACAGTCTGTTTTGAATTAATAACTGAGACTGAAATATTGTATGACCTCTATCGATTACAGGTCGTAGATTTTTCTGTAGGTGTGTAGTGCTTGAAGCCTTGGCGGGATCGAAATGCAAATATATAATTTGTCATAGGGCTTTTCCAATCGAGATATAAAAACGCCTGTTTTTCTTCCTTAGCTACAACACATCAATTACGCTGCAAATCCAGTCTCCTTGCAACTTTCTGAGACTCTCCAAAAGCTAAAGAGACAGAGATAACATAGCTCTAGACTCTCTTTCTCTCTCTCTCTCTCTCTCTCTCTCTCTCTCTTAAATTTTGAATGGTTTTAGGCATGAGCCCATTCACGTAGTAGTAATTGATATAATGGGATGAGAATGTACGTAGTAGTTCAGCGACGATGATGGAACATTCATTCTCTGTCTTGTAAAGTCTCCAACGCAAGAGTCAGTATCATCCTGGGCGTCTTATTATTATTATTATTATTACACACACACACACACACACACACACACACACATATAGAAGATATAGCTAGCCTAGTTACGTATTTTCCCACCAAAACAAAGAACGGAGTTCAGCAGATGACCAGCAGGAAGAATTTGATAAATACATAATACCTATTGAATCTTTATATATGCTCATTTAGCCCTCATTATTCTGATATATTGACATGTAAGTTTAATTCAATGCTTAAAATTGAGTGATCGATAACAATTAAATCAAATATAATGGTCAAATATGTGTCTATACTTAGTGCATGTAGGTACTTAAGAAACATTAGCTTAACCATAAAAGGATTTCCCGATGTTTTCTTCATTATATGGCGAAATGAGTAGATACTAATAAGCTTTTTGAGCCCTCTGCCACTAATCACATCTTAATATTAAGCACTTGTATAGGGGCATACGTACTAGGGAGAGAGCAAAATAGAAAGAAAAATGCAACAGAAAAAAAGAGAAAATAGCGGTAATATGCGCAACTTAATCTTAACCTTGTTTTAAAGTTAATTATTTTTAGTTACTGTTATACTCAAATATGTTCCTTAATTAATTGTGAATCGACGTATAATTGAAACCCTTGCAAGAATAGCAATGTTCAAGTCTCAAAGGATTAAGACCAAGTTATTAACAAATAAACTACAAGATGTTAGATAAAGAGGATCAGAAGTGCACCCAAGAACTATTACAAATGCATATAAGAGGAATTTGCAACATGATATACTCAATTAAAAGCTTATGTAACAAACAAACCAACAATACTCAGTTGGGAGTTAGGATACTTCTTCGAATAATTAAAGTATGCAATTTCCAACAAAGAACTACAAAGGTGAAAAAGCCTAAGAAGCTTCTGAACGGGGTAAGCATGTCATGCGCATGAAGAGAGTTAAAGAGTATAGTAGATACATGTGTGCATGGGAAAATAAAGCTTAACTCTAACTCTTCCTTCTTTAACTCGCACGGGGAGAGAGAGAGAGAGAGTAGAAATTACAACTTCACGAGAATGCGACCTATAGCATTTAATATCAACCCAACAGGTGTTTTGGATATGCGTGGGTTTCTTTCAATGTATATCATATAAATATCATAGCTTTTGAGTTGAATAAATGTGGAAGAAAAAGAAAGCGGTTGAAAGAAAGGAAACAGTGCACAGAAGATAAGCTTCAAGATCAAAACCATGTCTCACATAGCTGTGGAGAGAAACAGGAGGAAACAGATGAATGAGCATCTCAAAGTCTTACGCTCTTTGACCCCTTGTTTCTACATCAAAAGGGTACCTATATATATTACTCGATGCACATCTCTCTCATGTTTGTATACTATATATGATTAGCTTAAGTCGGTGTTAATTATTTTCTCATTAACTAGTTGTTTAACATGTACTAGGGAGACCAAGCATCAATCATCGGAGGTGTGATTGAATTCATCAAGGAATTGCATCGAGTTTTACAGAGTCTGGAATCTAGCAAAAGAAGAAAAAGCATAAGCCCTAGCCCTAATCCAAGCCCAAGACCAGTAGTCGCACTGCCTCAGAAATATCCAACCGCTCCACAACCTCATCAAAACCCTGACTTTAATTTTAATTTGGGGACTGAAAACCGTCACCATGTGATCAATAAGGAACTTGCTATAGGAGCAAGTTGCAACTCTCCGGTGGCTGACGTCGAAGCAAAGATCTCGGGATCCAACGTGGTGATGAAGATAATATCTTGGCGAATACCTGGCCAAATTGCCAAGATCATTGGTATGCTCGAGAGGCTTTCGTTTGATGTCCTTCACCTCAACATCAGCAGCATGGAAGACACTGTTTTATACTCTTTTGTAATCAAGGTACGTACGTTGTATCATGAAACCTCTTTAATTATGTAGTTATTGAAACCCAATCTTCGAACACCCCTAATTGTGCTCAGTTGAAACTTACGACCAAAACTTTGTTGGGATGTTAGGGTTTTAGTTACCCTTAAGCGCTCACTACAGATCATGACAACGAGAGCTGCTTAGGGCAAATAAGTTTCTAATTATAATCAAATCACCCAATTTATCTAATAGTAGCTAGCTATAAATTAACAGTATGATTTTAAAACTTGTTTATCTAGAACCAGAAGAAAGAACTGAAGTAATATATGTGATCACATGTGTATAAAATATGAACTTGCTTCCAGGAGTGGCACGTCATTAGTTAATTTTGTAAAATGAAGGCATACTCTCATGAATGGATATTGTTTTGCAAAATTGGTAAGGAAAATGTTAACTACACTCTTTTCTCTTCCAGTACGATTATGTTTAATTACGTTCTTTGTTTCTGTTTAATTTATTCAAATAAAGAGAGATGTATAAAATGAGAAAAAGAGTGTTGACTAAATTATTGCTCCTATCGATTATTTGATGATGAATTTCTTTGTTACACAGATAGGACTGGAATGTCAGTTGAGCGTAGAAGAACTAGTACTTGAAGTTCAACAAAGTTTGCGTTCAGATGCAAATTAAGCAGGCGTTGACGTACAAATTCAATAATGTTCTTGAGTGTGGATCAAGTGCTGAAGTTAAGTTCGTGTTTTTGTCATATATAATAGGCATATGAGAAAGGATATAAACGTTTGTTTCACTTGAAATGTATACCGGAGATGTCAAATCATATATATAATAAGTAGTGCTTGATACCTAAAACTTAGTAGTTTGATATATTATTTTACTCTATTACATGAGACGCCACATAGGTATGTCATTCATGGGAGAGTTACACTCAATAATAGAGTAAACTAATTCTATTAAACAAAGTTTTAGGCGTAGCATACTAGCATGTTTCTAGATGTATAATTGTTATTATGATTGACCAGTGCTCTTAATTTTGTAACTTGGACAGGGTTTGGTTGGATCATCATTCTTAACCCATGAATTAACTAGTAAGGACCTAACTCATGATTAGGACACGGAGTTAATCACATGTTTACTTATTTAAAATAGAAGAAATCATGAATCGAACAAAATATGTGAAAGAAGTACATAACGTGTTTACTATGAGAGTCGCATTTTGTTTTTGTTTCATATGTATTAGTAAATGTCAAGAAGTTGGAATGATTTTAATACACATGAATGAGTAAGCATATGGAAGAATGGAAGAGAATCATACTCCCTTATATATACTTAGCTTCTGGGGTACAATTTCCTAAATATACTACCTTCTTCATCTTTCTTCTAACACAAACTCATTTTGGCACATAAAAATCTTAAATATTTCTCTTCAAATTTGAAAATTTGGG